CTCAAATTCCAAGTATATGTCATTTCTTGGTCTCATAATATTCACTGAAATAGAAATGCATCTCAACCCACTATTCCATCAAATGGACACAAGGCCAGTGGTTTCATGGATCTCAGTAACTATCACACCAACTAGACATGGGCCAGCAAGGGACACTTCCGCAGAACCCTGAGTCGGCACACATTCGCCAGGATGCTCCACGTACCAAAAGATTCATCCTTCTTATCGAGGCGGAGGTGAGCTCTAACCTGCCCCGGCTCACAGCCATCGCAGGTGTCACTGCCAGGGTGGATGTGGAAGGACAACACGGTCTCTCCAATTTTCACTTCATCTCCATGTTCAAGTACGTAAGGGTCACATTTAGTTTTTGGCTGGAGAGGGAAAATTTAGTAAAACTGATCCAGAACAATCATACACAGTCATTTTATGTCTACTGTCTAGTGATGTCTGATTATAATAAACAAATATTAAAATCGTTCTCAGTGAGTTAGACACATAGGCACACACTTCCAACTTGATCAATGACTCATGAGGGGCTGGAAATATAGTTGAATGGGAGCATATGCACTTGGCATGCACGAGGCCTTGGGTTTGATCCCTAGCACACACACACAAAATACTCTACTACAGGAGACCAAGTGCTGACTCCTACTGGACATGCCCAGCTCTGGACCTCAAAAATGCATTAGCAAACCACATAATTACCCTAGTCAGCAAGATGGAGCACTGAAAGATGGGTGAGTGCTTCATCCCTTGCTTTTCTCCTCTTCTCTGTTGATAATTCAATTTTACTTCAACTTTTTCATTTTTTGTTGTAGTTCTTTTTTTTGAGCCAGGGTCTCACTACACAGTTCAGGCTGGCCTTGAGCTCACCATGCAGCCCAGCCTGGCCTCAAACTCACAGCGATCCTCCTGCTTCAGCCTCCCAAGTGCTGGGATTACAGGCGTGTGCCACCACTCCCAGTTAATTTTTTCATTCTTAAAGACTGAGAATACAGCCTTCTTTTACCCCTCCCTCCACTTCTTCCATAGATTTCTTACTCTAGCCAAGGTATTTGGTATGTGCTGGGAATACATACATTAACTAGACAGACATGGCCCCTGCTTTTTAAGGAATTTTCAGCTCAGTGATATTGCCATTAATACGAAAACACAACACAACACAACACAACAAAACAAAACAAAATAAACCCAAAGGACTAGGCTTGGCCTGGTGGCAGTTGCTTGTAATCCAACCTGCGTGGGAAGCTAAGGCAAGAAGATAACAAGTTTAAGGCCAGACCGCTTTGTAAGACTGACTCACAAATGCAAAGGTCTGGGATGTATCTCAGTGTGAAGACCCTGGCTCTGATCCCCAGCACCACAAGCAAATAAATAAATGGAGAAGTAATGGGCTGAGGATTTAGCTCAGCGGCACAGCACCTGCCCAGCAAGTGCAAGATCATAAGTTCGATCCCCGGTACCGGAAAAAAACCAAAAGAATAAATAAATAAAGAAAGAAAGAAAGAAAGAAAGAAAGAAGTAAATATATATTTTTTAAAAGGCATAGATACATAATTAGAAGTTAACAGTCAAAAGCTAAACATCCATCGACTGTATAAATTTTCCACTCTTTTCTGGAAATGCCCTTGCAAATGACACATTTGGACTTCAACTCTGATCCAAACCAAACGCTATCTATAAGGACTACTGCCTAAAGGAATAAAAAATTTCAGTTCTTTAAAAAATAATTTCAGGGGGGCTGGGGATTTAGCTCAGCGGCACAGTGCCTGCCTGGCAAGCACAAGGTTGTGAGTTCAATTCCCGGTACCAGAAAAAAAAAAATTTCAGTTAGTTTTAATAATGTTTAGATAATTAACATATATTTACTCACCTGAAGAATCTGTTTTCCATTAACAATTGTGCCATTTTGACTGCCTTGATCCACAAGGACATAACTTTGTAATTCATGGTCAAAATAAATTTCTGCATGAAACTTAAGAGAAAAGATATCAAGCAATTATAAACTACCATACTTTTTTGAAAACCATGTATAACAATTTCCCTATGAAATGACATGGGCTTTAGTCTCTGATCATTTAACTTACATTAAAACTTTTTTCTGAATATAAATTTTATATGATTCTGGGAGAAATATGAAGGCTAAAGAAGGAAATGTTATCTATAATTCTAACTTCAACTACCATTAATAATTTAATATACATCCCATCTTTTCTCCTTTCTTTAGTATGCCCGAGATTAGACCATATATACAACGTGAAAGTTTTTCCCCTATTAGTAACTGTCTACACCATTGAAAATTCTTATTACAAAAAGAGACTTGAGGGAGGTTAGGGGAATGGGGAACAAAAAACCAAGCTATATCAAACACAGGTACATATTTTCTATGATGAATGTGACCATTATACATTTAAAATGCACCAATAAAATCTGACTGAAGAAAAAAAGAGAGAGAGGCTTGAATCACTCAAGGCCAACTTCTCAGAGAAGTTTTCCAGATCTCCAACACTCAGGCCTGATCACTCCCGCCTTGTTCCTCAACATTCTCTGTACATTCTCCTCCTCCTTTGCTTCACAGGCCGAATGCAATGCCATGGCGTCATTCAGTTGTTTCATTTTGCTGAACAGTTACCCATTACGAGGACAAAAACCACACTCTATTCTTCTGAAAATGGACATGTAAGTTTTCCCATTTATTATTTTAAAAAATATTATACTTGCAATCTCTTTGTGTATAATGCAAGTGTTTCCCTAGGGTATATACAAAGGAACAGAACTGCTAAATCATAGCACATGTAAATCTCACACTGAATATTGCCATACTGCTTTCCCAAAGTAGTGTACCAATTATATACCTGCCAGGAGTCTAAGACAATTCTTATTGCTCTAAACACCTGTAATCAGAGTTTGGTATTATGAGTCAGAATTGGTAGCACTTGCCTGTAATCCCAGCATGCAGGAGGCTGAGGCAGGAAAACCCAAGTTCAAGACCAGCCTATACTACATAGTGATACCCTACCTCAAAAACACATACACAAAGAATAAAAGGACTTGATATTTTCAGAGTTTTTACTTTTTCTTAATCTTGCAGGTATGAAATAATGTCTTACCACTGTCATTTTGTGTTTCTCTAATTACTAGTGAAAATTTTTCTTATGTGTAGTACCCATTTGGATTTTTTCTGTGCATTTTCTTTATGACCTTTGTATTTTTTTCCATATGGTTTAAACAGTTTCAAGTTTTTTGACCTTGCCATGTCCTATTCCAAAAAGTTGTTCTAAATAATCCTCCAACTAGGAATGATATTTATCATTTATTTAACATTTATTAAGTAATAAGTATGATGAATAAAAACTGACATCTTGGCTTCACCTCTATTTCTTGGATTACTATAAAGATAAGTGGCGTTTCATCTTAATTCTGGACTTTCCTCTATTATGAACTGCCTCTTTATATCCTTTCTCACTTACCTACTGGTGTTACAACAGGGCCTGAGAAGATAAATTTGCATGAGCTTTTGAAATAGAAAGGAAGGACATCTGTGCTTTTTTAACCTGCTCCTTAAACATTGGTTCTTAACATACAGAGATTTAAAGTTAGTCAAAATTATTTTGTCCCTTGTGATTTTTACCATACTAAGGATACCTTTTGTCTGTTAATTTAATATCTAAATATTTCTTTATGTTTGTGTCCTGGATGTTAATATGAGTTTTTAATTATTATTTTTCCTCCACTTGAATATATGGTATATATGCTGTCAACTTGATTTGCCAACATATTATTTACCGCAACAGTAGATGTTAGTGTAAAAGAAATTAAAAATACAAGGTCAGGTGTGGTGGTACACACCTGTAATCCCAGCACTGAAGAGGCTAAGGCAGGATTGCTGTGAGTTCCAGGCCAGCCTGGGGTACAAAGTGAGTTTAAGGCCAGCCTGAACTACAGAGTGAAAGAAACCCTGTCTCAAAAAGACAAAAAAGGGGAAAAAAAAAAAAAAAAAAGAAATTAAAAACAAATTCTCTGGTAGTATTTCTGATTTTAATTTCATTCTACCTATACTTTAGATTGGAGTAACCAGAGAACTGCCTATATTTTAGGTTGGGGAGGGGGCTTCTTTACTACAAAGTTACTTTAGTACTAAGACTGACTTTTCTTTGGAAGCAAGAAAATCAAGGGTCATAGGAAAGTAAAAAAGCCAGATAATTTGGTTAGAGTTAAATTATGAAGATTTTTCCCTTCTCCAAATGAGTCCCCCAAAAGTTGAAGGTAACTAGACTTTGAAATAATGCAAAAAAAAATTCACTCCAAAATAATAAAAATTACATAAAATCCATTAATGAAAACAAGATGGGAGCTCAGGGTACAGCACAGCGGCAGAGCACTTGCCTAGCACATGGAGGGCCCAAGCTCACCTCCTGCTGCCACAAAGAGAGGTCCGAGAGAAAAAGGCACATGAGCAAAGAGGTAATAAGCACAAGGGAGAAGGACAATATAAACTTTGTTACACTGGGCTCAAAGCAACTGCCTATTAAAGTAGTTTGAATCTAGGTCTGGTTTATTTCTGAACTGCCATAAAGTGCGGCATACGTATTTCTCTCAACAAACGTGAGTTAAATGGGTACTACTTTAATATTTAGATCAAATAATCTATGTTTTCTACTCCTACTCAGACTACTGAAAAATAAACACAACTAGCGGGGTGTGATAGCAGCCCCAGAGCTTAGGAGGCCGAGGCAGGAGGACCACTTAAGCCCACGAAGTCCAGATTAGTCTAGACAACACAGCAACACACTATCTCAAAAAACCAAAGCAAAGCAAGCAAAATTCAGTTCATTCAAATTGTGACAAAGAATTTTTATTTTCTCAAGTACTGGACAAATAAACCTACACAGCCTTCATCACCACTGCACAGTGAACATTAACCATTCATTAAATAGTATAAACTTTAAGCTTGCCACATAATGATTTTTTTTCTTACTCTATGATGATGCCTTTGAAAATTTTATCTTGGCAACTATACTTGAAAAATTAAGGTCTTACCTTACTAACACCAACTTCAGGGATTCGGAGGGTGTGCGCCATGTCTTTTTCTCTGCAGAGTTGAATAAAGTGTTTTAAATAATTGCTAAAAGCCTATATAAACAGAGCACTTAGACAGTGACATGGTAAAACCCGCTTAAACGGATATTAAAATGCAAGTCTACGACAGTAGATCTCTTTGCTACTCTAGATTTTGTATGCTTTTGCCTAACTACGTTTTCTTTATCTCCAGACTGTTCTTCCTCTGGTTGGAGATCTTGCCCTAGTCCTCTTTGTATCCACAGCACAGAGAACTATGATTGATATAAAATACATGCTCAATAACAAACAATGTAGTAGTATTAACCATTTTTACCTTCCAATTGTAGCAGGGTTTACAGCTGTGATGATGAAAAGTGATCCTGTCTGCAACACAGGTGACCTAATAACAATGACTCTAATACACGGGGGCCAAATCTTTTCTTCATCTGCCAAAGACAGAAGTGACCAAACATTAACTGAAACAGTCCGAAACAAAAATCTTCACATGGACACCTAGGTGGCATCATAAAATAAAACTGCACTGGTTATGGCTGAGGGTTGAGCTCAGCTTGGGGCATGTGCTTCGAATGCAGCAGGCCTCAGAGTCAGCGCTCAGTGCCAGCAGAACACACAGAAAGCTGCACTGCTCAGCAGGATGTAGTGCCGCAGGCCGGTAACCCACACACTCTGGGACAGTGAGGCCGGAGGATCACAATTCCGAGCCCACTGAGCGGCTTAGAAGGACCCTATCTTAAAATAAAAGGCGGAGGTGGGGATGTAGCTTAGTGCAAAAGCCCTGGATTCAATCCCTACTAATGAAAAAAATAAATGTACTGGTTGAACTTTTCATTCTGGGGGCTGGGGGTACTTCAGTGGTAGAGCCATAGCTGACCATGACGTGAGACCTTGGATTCAACCCACAATAGTGGGAAAACAAAAGAAAGAAACAGACTAAAATGAACTTGTAACATTCTACTATATGATACTTATAGCAATGGCTAAGGCTTACCGCTGTTATCGAAGTGATCAACATAAAATTGTACATCCTATTTAGGATCTATCACAGAAATTTTAAAAAACTCAAAGTTTTTAAGCAGCTTTAAAATACCCCAAATATTTTATATTAAGTCAGAAAAACTGAATCCAGTTTTTAAAAATAAGAGAAATTCCACTGAGAACACAACTCATATACTATAATGTAAAACTCTGTGTTTTAGAAATGTCTTTCCTATCAAGTAAAAAATACATTTATGGGAATATTTACGTACTGAACTCATACTTTTTTTAGGCGACTTCCTTTTTCTTCCTCAACAGCAGAAGTATACTACAAATACGTAACTCACTAAAGCAGTCTACAAATAGTATAGTAAAGAGCATATATATTGGGATTCGGTCATAGGAAGCTTGATTTTATGTTCTATTGATCAGGCTATTCAATACAATGAAATATTTTTAAGGTCCAAGGATTAGTCATCCTACTTCCTAAAATTTACCAAGTGGTAGCTCACATGATTTGCAATAATGTCATTAAAATAATCAGTTTACCTTTTGGCACACATCCACATGGGTCACTAACACTTTCAACTCTTGTGCTCTTTCATGGTTACCAGACTGGGCTACTTACTAAAATGAAGTACTGGAAAGTCACATACTCACCTTCGTCCTCTGTCTCCTCTGCTGTCCTGCTGTCCTCGCTGGTACCATCTTCATCATAGCTCCCCTCGCTCTGAGAGTCTGTGATTTCACCTTCTTCTGGCTCACTATCACTCTCTATGATTTTCTCATCTTTAAATGAGGCTGAATTAGAGATGTTCTCATTAACAGGAGACTGTACACTGTCTATTTTGACCTTCTTTTTCACATTTGCAAAATCTTCTCCCTCACTGCAGTTTAAATATTCAACACTGGACGCTTTTTGGTTTTCTGAATTCAAATCCTGGAAAAAGATAGGTAGGTAGGTACGTAATAGCGGAGAATCATTTTAAACATGACCATAATAATGTATGAAGTTTCAATGAATTAGTGACTATATACACAGTGAAAAACAATACATGGAATTTGTGCCCACTCTTCCTCACACTCTTTCTTGGTTGGTTAATGCTGTTGCCATCCTCTTCTGATACAAACTAAAGATCTTACACTCACCCCCGACATCCCCTAACGTGACATGAAATCAACTGCTGACTGCCCTGGACTGCACCTACAATTAGCCCAAATCTTTCCTCCCCTCTATTCTCAGTGTCTCAATACTCACAGTCCAGGCCCTCATCATGCACAGCCTGGACTGTGTGACAACTGATACCAAAGCTGTTCAACAGAAATGTAACTTCAGCCATATTGTTCATTTAAGCTATTTTAATAGCCACGTTTAAAAAGCAAAGTGATTAATGAGACAGTTTACATATATACGCCCTCAAAGCTTACAGTATGTACATACAGCACATCCCCATTTGGACTGGCTGCTCTTCAAATGGTGATCACACACAGCTAGCTGCTACCTTACTGGATAGAGCAGAGCTAGAAAATGCATTTACTCTAAATTTTCTTTTAAATTTTTTATCAATTAGCATCTCAATAGACATAAAATACAGTTTTATTTATATGAATTTAAAGATCCACATGCATCCAATCTAACTTTAGTTTCACCAAAATTTAGTACTTTACAGTTAGCTCAATAATAAAAAAAGTTTATCTTTTATTCTAAAATTTCAACTTAGCTAATATAAAAGCCTGTTATTATTAATTTATTGTACAGGTATAGCTGTACAATGTTTTGTAAAAACTTAACAACTCTATTAGCTTTAATTAATGAATAAAAAGTGTGTAGTTCTATCCTGTACAACATGTTTTGAAACATGTATACACTGAATAGAATTACCTCACTTATTTTTTGTAGTGAAAACACTTAAATTTACTCTCCTACTGACTTTCAAAAATATAATACATGGGCTGGGGGTGGAGCTCAGCAGTAGACTGCTTGCCTAGCATGTGTGGCCTTGTGTTTGATTCCCAGCATGGCAAAGAAAAAAAAAAGCGAGACAACATAAAATAGTTATTAAATACAGTCATCATGTTGTACAATACACAAATCTGTAATGTTTACCTTGGCTGAAACAGAAAATTATTTTCCTTTTTCCCTTTGGTTTGTAACATACTCTCAATTTTCCTACTACTGTAGAGCAACATGATGAAGTAAGCTTACATGTTGTTCTGTTATTTTATATAATGTGAGAATATCTTATACAATTATTTTTAATAGCAGCATAAATTCAGTTTGGAGACTGACTAAGCATTCAGTGTGATGAACTATATATTCCTAGCAATACAAATTCACCAAGGACAAGAACAAGGGTACAGAGCTAAAAAACTATCAGTTCTACAGGCCATATGATTTATAGCAAAACATTTCTCTAACTACATGCACTTTTAAAAAAGGGTTTCTACGGCCCGACATATAGCTCAGCAGCACAAGTGCCTGCCTGGCAAGTGCAAGGTCCTGAGTTTGATTCCCAGTACACACACCCAAAAAAAGCCTTTCTAGTTCTGTATATTTTATTATTATTGTTTACTGGACAATATACGCGGGGGAAAAGTGAGTGAAACTGCCAGAGTGGCTGGGTTTTACCAGCTACATATTTCCCCATACAGAATGCTAGATAAATATTAAGAGAAAAGAAAGAGGTCTTACAGGTAAGCTTTGAGACATATCAGGAATATTTCAAGTTGTTTCCCCCAATCACCTCACCCTACTGCCTTACTTTTCCATCTCTTCATCTACAAAGAGGCTCAAGAGTATCTTTAAAAATGAAGAAAATAATGAGGATGTTTTAACTAGTCTCACATGGCTTCATAGCTATTTTTAAGAATCTTCAGGGAATTCTCCAAATTACATCAGGATTTTTTCTTAAAACCCAATGTTGGAGTTCACATTATTTTGAAAAGAATGGTAAAGATAGAAGTTAAGGAGCTAGGGAAGATCATACATGCTACCAAAGAACGCTTTCCACCCTCTTCACTATCGCTGGTCAGGAAAGGTCACTGACAGCCCCTGCTGCCAGGGAGAGGCGCTTTCACACCCAGCCTTCCCAACAGGTCAGCCTCTAGTAACAGGGCGAGTCATGAAAACAGGCCCTGGGAACAAACAGAAAAGTTCTTCTCAGTAATTTAGTCATAGACTCTTCTATTCCTAGCTACTGTCAGTAAACGAAGGGCAGTAAAGACAAACCATAAAAAAAATAGAGAACAAACCAACAGTATCCTAATTCCATATATGAACTTTACAGTTTAGTACAATTTTCAGTAAATGTTCTTGGGCTAAGAAAAGAAAAACAGGAGATAATATTTCCAGAGTAAAGTATCAAACACGTAGTTGACACAGTTCAAACACACCAATAAAATAAGCCTTCTGTCCTGCATATACACCATCAAGAGCACTCATAACATTTCAGTTAACGTTATAAGTGGTGAAAAAAATTCCCCTCAATCTTTACATCTACCACTTAAAGGCCTAATAATATATTTTCAATTAAATATATCATCTCTTTCACAAATAATGTACTATAAGCTATTCAGACTCAATCTTTTTCTGTTCTTATAAATAATACTCTATAACTAAAGAATTTTTCTTTAACCTGATTTTTTAAAAATTATAGGAAATGATACTTTTCCAATTAAAGTACTATATAATTATTTTAATGATTATTGATACTACAGTTAACCTCTTTTCCAAAAACAAAAATACCAATTTACAAACCTAGTACGTACCCCATTCCATTATTTGTCAGCAATAAATTTTTTAAACGTGTTGTAATTTAATAGGTAAGAAAATACTCAACATGACTAAGGAAGCTGAATCTATAGCTAAGTCTGCTTGCAAACTGTGCCTTTCTTTTATTGTGAATGGTGCAATGACACTGCCATATCAGCTGAGGCTCTGTATGTTCTTGTTACAAACGGTGTCCCATGAGGTATTTTATCTGCCTCCAGTCTACGTCCATCAAACTGTAAGAAGTACTTCTATTTTTAGTCACTAAAAATTTGTGAAAGTACACATTTGCTGTGTTTGAATGCTCCTTAGTTGGTTCTGGTACTTTAATGGATATGTTTGAAATACACAGTTACAGAATGATTTTATTTCATAAAAAATTTTTGGCGTAATCGTGTTATTAAGATTACATAAATTGTAAAAATTAAGAAGACATTACCTTTTCTTCATTTGTTGAAGAACAATCTGGATCTTTTCTTTTCCTCTTCAGTTTTTTATCTTTACTTTGTTTTGTGGTAGCTATCTGATAAGGCTGCAAATCTACTCGAGAATGAAACTGGTATCGACCGCTTTCCACGTCACAGTAGTAATAAATCCCAGTGGAAGGATCATAGTATAGCTGATTTTCCTTTCAAAGTAAAGAAAACCATGAGCTTTATTTATGTATGATAAAATAAAACAGAAAAGCGTAACAGAAATAGCAAGTATATTCAAATATAGTCTGCTTCTCTTAACTATAGTATATACAGAAGGTAATAAATTAAAGATAATAAAATAAAAAGTACTTATCATTTTTTAAAATATCATTCCATGCCTGCTCTAATTTTCCTAATGTGCAAATAAACCTAAATATTAAATGGAAGCACATGCAGCTGCCAATATATTTTTACTTTATAAGAACAGGAATTTCATATTGCTCAACTTAACACATTAATAAAAAAATAATAAATCTTTCTGAATGCTGGAAAACTAAGGCATACATCAGAAAAACTGCGTATGAAAGCACTTCCAGATGCATTATGCCCAGTAACTGCACAGTAACGCTTTGGTAGTATAAGCCTCAAACCTTCCTCCCAATGTCATAATGTCACCAAAGAGAAAGTGAAAAAAAGTGAAGCTTGTAAGTACCACAATATAACATTATACACAAAAATTAAGTGTTTTCACTAATGAATTCTACAGTAAATAAATAAAACATGTGCAAAGCAGCCACGTACAAAAAAATTTTGAAATATTCAGACGTGTGTATGCTGGCCAAACACTTTTCTGCTAAGCTAAGGCCCCAGTCTTCTCCTTTTTCCCTTGTACTGGAGACTGATTCCCAGGGATTTCGCACAGAACTACATCCCTAGGTTTTTTGGTGGTGGTGGAGGTTTTTTTTTCTTTTGAAAGAGAGAATGTCCCTAAGTTTGCTGAAGCTGGGGCTTAAACTTGCAATCTTCCTCACTCAGCCTACCACAATGCTAGAATTACAGGTGTGTGGTTAACCCTTTATGTCGTCGAAACATAAACTGGCTAAGGTGCCCAGGCTGGTTTCAAACTTGGGATCTTTAAATCCAAGTAAGCATTAATTTCAGCAGCCATTATACTGGTACAGTGGTACCAGTATTCATCATTAATTTATTCTAGGAGTGTGACGACAGATTGTTTTGGCTGGAAAAGGTAGTGAGTCACCAAGCAGTTGAAACTGGGAGGCTCTAGCTTTTGAGTTACGAGCCAAACAAAGGACAAGTACAGGGACAAAATGTTCATGTCAAAATTCACTGAATACCAAATTCAACGAGTTTCAAAACAGCTGAGCACTAAGGTAAGATGTATCACAAATCATTCTGGTCCTATCTTAATCAGGGGGCCGTTGTATTTCTAAATCCACATTAAAGTTCTCATTGTTAAAAGATTTTTAATTTTATTTTTTATTGTGGTGCCAGGGATCAAACCCAGTGCCTTGTGCATGCTCGGGAAGCACTCTATACTGACCTACACTCCCAACAGAGCCCAAGATTCATTTTTTAAAATTTAAATACTCAAAAACCACAGAATATAAAACACTAACAATAAACATGCCACTAACTCCTGGAGAGGCTGAGGCAGGAGGACTGCAAGCTCAATGCTAGCCTCAGCAACTCAGCAAGACCCTGTCTCAAAATCAGGGAAAGGGCTGGGAGTATAACTTGGTAACAGAGTTCTTATCTGGCACACATGGGGCCCTGTGTGCAACCCCAGTCTCACACACCCCTACACACACATACACACAACCTGATACTGAGAATTCAGAGTGTCCTGTGCTGGCCATGGTGGTGGACCTCTGTAGTCCCAGCTACTGGAGAGGGTGCAGAAGAAGGACTGCTTGGGCCCAGGAGTTCAACAGCAGCCTGAGCAGCTACCACTTCAGAAAGAAAAAGAAGAGTCTCCTTCTGTGGCCTAAAATATGTTCCTAAAGATAAGTATTTGAAATAAGCCTAGAATTAACAATCTCACTTGCTTATACATTCTGTGAGAAAATACTAGTTTAGGTACTTAAAGGCTTTACACTACCATTAACCATCTGCATTTACTAAACGTCTACCATTTTGGTGTGTTACTTGATAAGAGGTTATCAGTCCCCTCTAAAATGCTGACTTAGAGAAATGGCAGAGAACCCATGGCATGCACCACAGCAAGGTGTTTATCACTGAAAGCGCTGCTAGGCTCACCAGCACTGATCTACAACAACAACTTCTCATTAAATACTTAGAAGTGTAGCAGAGAAAGCTATTTTATAATTATTTCACCAAATAGCTCTGAATCAAATGAAATTTCACAATGCTGCTTATTGCTTTCACTTCATTTTAGGGTTTAATACTTGCTGTCAGGCAGCTATGTACACAACCGCACTGTATTAACATGGTCTGCAACACTTACGGAATCGTAATAGAAACCAGTGCTGTGGTCAAAGTACAACCCAGTACTTTCATCATAACTAAATCCAGTCTGTGACACAGCAGCTTCTGCGGCAGCTCTCAAGCTTTCGGCTAATGATGAACCTTCTGAGGATGCACCTTCTGTTGCCAATGCAGACGCTGGCTCCTACGGAAGACAGCAATGTCAAACCAGACACAGCTTTCACATATCCACTTAAAAGTCAGGATTCAAACATGGCCTGTCTTAATAGCTACTCTTCAATGGATAGTGATTTCAATTTCTACAATGGGTAGATGTAGCTTTCAATTACAATTTGAACCTTTTAAAACAATACTGACTCAAGTACTGTAATATTTAACTCAACTGACCCAGTTTTTTGTCACAGTCCTGCCCTACCAGTTTAAAGACCTAAAGAAAGGGAATAACTATTATGAAAAAGTAAATGTGTGATACCATACGGAAGCAATTCACAAAATACAGACCATGAAATATTTAAAAAACAAATCATCAAGATTGTTCAACAATTATATGCTCAGTAAGAAAAATAAGAAAGAAAACGTTATAGATTAAATGATATCCTTTGAACAGAATACTGATTCAAACAAATTTTTAAATCCAAATGTATAAAATAGGGAAATTTAAACAGTAACATGACATTTACTATTAAAAAAGCATTAAAAATTTTTTAGGGCTGGGGATGTAGTTCAGTGATAGAGCACTTGCTTAGCATGCATAACGCTCTGGGTTCAATCTCAAACATGACACTAAAAAAATAAAGTTTTAGGTGCAGCTAGGCGCCATGGCATAAGCCTGTCCCAGCTACTTGAAGGGCTGAGGCAGGACAATCCAAATTCAATGCTGGCTTTGGGCAACAGAGTGAGACCCTGTCTCAAAAAATAAACCAAACCAAAGTGTAACCAGGTGTTGTGGCTCACTGCTAGCGTCTCGGCTGCTCAAGAGGATAAGACGGGAGGATTCCTTGAGCCTGGGGTTTGAGACTAGCCTGGGCCACACTGCAAGACTTCATCTCAAAGAACAGAAACTTTAATATTCCTGGCATAGTTATACATAAGAATATTTACAACCCTTGTATATGACCAACCAAAAAAGTTTATCTTTTTACATGACAAGGAAGGACAAGTTCTTGGCATCAACAATTTCATGTTTAGTGTTTCAGTACCTGTGAATCTGAGATGAAATGGTCCTCTTGTCCACATGTAATATTTCCTGTTCCATCAGTACCATCACTTTCTAGTTGTGACTGGTCTTCAGAATTAAAAGTAGGTGCTTCAGCATACTGACACTGCTGGACTGAGAGTTCAGTCTCTTTATTTAGAAGACCATCATCATTATAGTATGTCTGATAATAATAATCTGTGGCAAAACAAATTAAGTGTTATATTTGATTAGTATATGTAGAAAGGGCTTAATTCTGAAACATGAGCACTTAGCACAGTTCACTGAAAATAAACATGACTTTTACAACTGTATACATTTCAAAATATTAAAACTGATAGTGCAAATAAATCTGCAGAAATGTGTATCTCTAATGCTAATGTCTCAGTACCCCAGCTACCAAGCTAAAAAAGAAAAAAAAGGGAAGATTTGGATTTTCCATGGCAAGAGTAAAAAAGAAAATATACAGATTGGTTGTCTTCTGTCAAAAACAAAAAAACCTAGCAACTCTTAGCAACTTCTAACCATATACCTAACATTGATGCTTATCAACTAACAAAATGGACAAGGACCCAGGGTCTCCGTTTGCCATCAAATTCTTGTCAAAGTTTGTATACAGATATGCTAGCCCTTTAGCTAAACTATATCTGAGTGAACCAAGCCAAAACCAAATAGGAAGACTCTTTCTTGTGATCCACTTTTATTAAAACCTCAGCAGCTCCCTTACTTCCCCTGCAACAATGCTGCTGCACAACTGTGGTGGTAGTGGACATACCATGCCCACAAGACCCAAGAGCCAGGGGCTGCACACATCAACAAAAAAGCACTGCCTTGCTCAGGTGGCAGCCACACAGGAAGGCAGGCTGACTACACAGCAAAGCTCACTAGGAGAATAGGGGTGGCAGTGTGCACTGGCTGTCCCAGTGCTCAGGAGGCAGAGTTACCCTTTGCCCAAACTTTGAGACAAGGCTGGGCAAAACATAGTAAGACTCCATGCAGAAAAACTGCTCCATGAGTGAACTGCTGAAAACGCGTTAGCAACATTATAGAAATTACAGGAATGATAGCTTTTTTTTTTTCACAAGGGCAAATTGATTATCTGGAAACACCAAAGGAGAGAAGTCAATAATTATTCTCATTTATGTAAATCTTTTTGTATTTAAAATTTAAAGAAAACACCATATTAGCATGATTTGAATGTAACAGTATTAGGATATTTTCACTACAAGGTAAATACCTGAACTTGACCAAGCAGCCTGGTTCTCTGTTTGTACTTCTACATCAGACTTGTTACTATCTTCATTTCTCCCACAGTGGAGTATTTTACTGAGTTCTTCTACCTGAAAGAAAACAAGGCTTTAGGAGAAATAAACCATGAAGCAATATAATAATACACATACTATTCTCTTGATATTACAACAAAAAATTATTTTTCTTGGTAAAAAGTTTTAAGAGATAAACTGGGCATAGTGGTGAATGCCTGTAATCCCAGCTACTCATGGAGGCTGAGGCAGGAGAATCTCAAGTTCAAGGATGACCTAGGCAAGTTAGTAAGACTGTGTCTCAAAAGTTAAAAGAAAATACTGAGGACACATCTCAGGGATGGAGCTCCCATGGGTTCAACTCCTTATATTAAAAATACAGAAGTTTCAGAGATGTGCCATGAATAGCTAGAAACCAAAAATAATCACAACTCTTAACAGTTAATTTTCAGAGAATTTGGTCGGGGGGAGGCGGTGGGAGGGACAAAGTCTTGTTATGTTGCCCAGGCTGGTCTTGGCCTCCTGAGTGCCAGGACCAGAGGTATATGCCATCGTGTCCTCTTAAGCTTGCCTGCGAAACATATAAATATGCTCCCCCAAAATCAGACTGACTGAATTAATGGAACTCTCTGAACAGGATCTTTCATTTGTAACAGGAATATTTTCAACTGGGTATAGAATTTAGTGAGCTTAATGCTTACTGCCAACCCTACCCACTCACCGAACAATGCTTTTATGCTAATATGTAAGGTCAGCAGTTCTAAAAGATTAAAAAAATTAAAAACTATAAATGTCCATCTGCACTGAATTGTCTAGTATCACTTAGTGTCCTCCACCTGTGTTTAACTATTCGCCTAAATACAGCAACACCATTTATATGATTCAATGTGTATTTTTTTTCTTTATATAGCAGTCTTATGATTAAATAACTGCAGAAGGGAACAAGAAACACAACTGGCTAAGAAGGGCAATGGTCCTCCACGCACCTCATGCACTGAAACTCCCTTGGAAGGGTGCTACACAGGTCAGAACAACAGTGTAGACACACCCAGAAATAAATGAAGACCTGCCTCAGTCAAGGCACCTTAGTCTGACAGGATCTCAGTGTGAGTGTCTGCTAGATGCATGAAACTGACTAAAAACAGGCTTGTAAATTTCTTTTAATATATAAGCTCACACGAGACAGGTAAGAATGATTATATAGTCATCAGATCTGTTCCTACCACTAGGACTTAAACTACGGTGAGGCAAGCAAGATACTTAAGGTAAAATACTTGTGCTCACAGATTAATGCAAGTACCTATGTAAGTAGGTGACCCCTGAAGTTCCTCACCCTAGAAGACTGATCACCTTGCACCAGTCCTGGTTGTGGCTGATACCACCATTAATACAAACTTGATTACTTAGTATCTACTGCGCACTGGGCGTTATACTGCTGCACAGAACATTTTAATTTACACAAGCACCTCACAAATTACATATTTGTCTTAATTTCCATTTTACGTACAAAATATCTGAATCAACAAAGTAAATCGTATAAGGTTTTCTGACCCCCAAACCTGCAGATATTATGATTTTCTATTAGTTCAGTTTATTTCTTTGAACTCTCAAGTGCTCTGGGCAGGTGCTTGTGCCACTGAGCTATACCCCTGGCCCTCTCAGGTGCTCTAAACAGAACACATTCAGTAATTTGGGATGACAGCCAAACTCTGCTCTCCCAACAGGAAAGGCTGACTAGGCAAGTACTCTTTATCAGCAGTCCAGTCAAGACCATGCTCCCTGCACTGTCACCCCTCCAGTGCTGGGAACTGAATTTAGGGCCTCTTGCATGGTTAGGTGAACATACATTAAACTGTGCCTCTTTTTTTTTTCAATACAAGCCCTCTGTATGTTGTCCAACTTAACCCTGAACTCCTAGGCTCAACACAGGCTGCCTCTGCTTCAGACAGGAGATTCCAGCTGCATTTTTTTTTTTTTTTTTTTTTTTGGTACTAGAGGTTGGCCCTTCACACTGAGCTACATTGGCAGGTCTATTTTGAGATGCAGTCTTGGCTGGGCTTGAACTTGTGATCCTCCTGCCTTGACCTCCCAAAGTCTTGGGATTATAGGCATATATTACCATCCCTGGCTTATATTTCCATTTTTTGATGGCGAACCATTATCAAGTTAACACTAAAAATGAAAATACTGGCTCTTAGAAGGTTAGCAAAAAATGTTAGGTCTCTTAGGCAAGCAATCCTTCTCCTCCTCTCATATATTTATATGTGTATTTTCCTAGCACAATCCTGTACACTGTAGGCGTTCAAGAACTAGTTGTTGAAAAAACAAAAAACCTTTCTATGTCATAAGATCAGTAATTATACACAATCAGCATTTGTTTTTGTAGCTCGACAAAGTTTGGTGTTTCAGTGTTCAGCCAAAACTGTTGTGTAGTTGTTTAAGGAAAAGAATCAATTAACTATGAAGGACTACAAAAGTTACTCTGAAGTACCTGGAAATGATTTATCAGGCGAGTGCAGCTACCCATCAGGTAGTTAAGAGTTGTTTTTTGAATTGCTGTTTTAAGTATCTGTCCTTATTACACATTATCAACATGATGTAAGTTGTTCAAGTGTCTAACAAAGAAGGCTCTACTTCCCTCCCTCCTCAAGAAATTTCAAGATGATGAACGCCCAGAACAACAACGTCAAGTGCTATTTATGGGCAAGTGAGGCTCAATCTAGGTTTACACATTTCATGAGAGGCAAGGATGAGATTCTGATTCAAGCTCACACCTTAAACAAACTCAAACATAATCTGGAAAAGTATTACAAATGTTCCTACTGCCAGAAGGACGCTAGGACAAATGAGAATGAAGATCGTGTAGCGAAGTACTGGAGTTCCACTCAAGCCAGCAGTGAAACACTCATCCAAACCAAGAAGCCGGCGGTCTTAGGTCTACTCCACATGTACCTGCACTGTAACTGCTCTGAGGTTTTATCTACTTCAAAGACTCTATACAGCAGTGGCGAGCCCCAGCCAAGGAGCAGTGCCAAGGCCGTCCGAGCCTCGTCCCGCGCGGGGCGGACCGCGCACCTGCGTGCGGAGCTCCTGGTTGTTGCTCTCGGCGCTCTGGTACAGCCGCTCCGTGTGATGCAGCAGCTTCTCGATCTCCCGCACCTGCCGCTTGCAGCTCCGCAGCTCGCGTTCCAACTTCTCCACCTTCCGCCTCAGCTGGGCCAGTTCAGGCTCTGGGGAGGTGGGCGGCGACAGTGACTGCGAGGGCGACGGCGGCGGGGACGGCACCTCGGAGGCCATGAAGTCCCGCGGGGGGTGGCCGCAGGCGCGAGGGGCTGTGCTCAGACCGAGACGGGCGCCGGCGGGCCCAGAGGCCACAGGAGCGCGCGGGCTGCGGAAAGCGGCCTCGCACCCGGCCGGCCGCGGCGGCCCCTGGCCATGACGCCCTGAAACTCGTCGCCTGTGGCCGAGGGCTGCGGGCAGCGAGCAAGGGGACGGAGGACGGCCCCCTTCCGATCTGCGCGGCCTCGAAACCGGAACACTTTAAGTGAAACTACTTTCGTCAGAGACAGACAGCCAGGCAAGCGCGGGAGAAACGGGCGGGACAGAGCGGCAGAAGACAGAAATGATCTGCCAGTTCCCCGACTGGACCGGAAACGCTGTGCCGGAGGTGGGCGGGGCCAATATTAGAACGGAAGCTACGGGAAGCCGGAAGCGCCGGTAGTGCACATGCGCAACACCCTTTTGCCAGGGTCCGGGCGATACTGAGAGTGGAGTGTCTCCAGGAAAAATGGCTCGCTGGGCTTTGTTGCGATAGAGGGACACTTTTTGTGCTCCCAAGAGTTTCAACATGCCGACCTTGTTTGAGGAAGATTTTCACGTAGAGTACGATTCTTATTTCCTAATTTCCACATGAGAGCTGTGAATCTCCCAGAAATGATTGGCCAGGGTTAGAGATAATGATAAACCGGGACGGGACCATAGTTTCAGTTTGTTCCGCTTGTAAACAAGAGCCCCCTGAAAAAGGAAGCAGGTTCAACCAGACGGAGCTGCAAACAGAACCATTCCTGGTGGGAAAGTACGAGGCCATATTTCTGTAGAACAGGAGAGAAAAACACTGTGAGCTGGTGGATTTATTTGGGGCTTTGTTTGTTTGAATCCTAGGGCTTCTTCAGACTCACTTCCTCCCTTCTCCAAGGTTGAGTACAATTAGATCTTGAGCTCACTGGGCTTGGCCTGAGATTTTCAAGTCATCGTTTCTGTTAGCCTGGCCCTTCTCTCAGTCCAGAGTACATAGTTGCTGAAAATAACCAAACGTAAGAACCCTGTTTGGTGTCCTAGTTCAGTGGCTACTTTTATTAACTATGGATTTCCTTAGTTTTGTTTTGCAGTGCTGGGGATTAAACTTAGGTTCGTAAGCATACTGGGCAAGTGCTTTGCCACTGAACCTTACTCATACATTTTTTTGTTTTCTTAATAATATGGCGCCTGAGGCTAATTAGTAGAAAGAGCAAACAGTCCATCCCAAATCATGCCTTTTTCATGTAAACTCACCAGTCCAGAAACCATCAACCCTCTACCTCCTTTATCAGGCTATTACACTCCAAGCCCATATTCTCCTGCCCTAAACATTCCAGGGCCAAGTGCTGGACAACTGCTTACAATTCAGGGACCCTTGAAAATTTTCAGATTATTCAGTGCTGAGCTTGCTTACCCTCCCGTGTTCATTTCTCCCCACAAGAAAAAAAGGCTTTGGCCCTGATTCCTTCCACTCCCTCTGCCTCCTGAGGACCTTGGTGTGTTCCCACATGGCTCTGTGCAGCACGGTGTGCCTCCTCCTCTTGGACTCTGTAATAAGCTATCTTTTCCATGGCAATATCTGTTGGCTTCACCATACCTGAATAATAACAAAATCTATATTTTAAACACCACTTTCCTAAAAGGTCTGCCAGTAAGGAGGAAGAGCAAAATGCATGCTAAATAGGTGAATAGCAATCTTTGCCACACCTAGTTTTCAGTTTAAGCGGTAATTGATATAGTGGGCAGGGTCCATGCCCCAGAGAAGCATACTACTTGACACCCTTTAGGATTTGACTTTGTTTTGTGATATATTTTCCCACATCCTTTCCAACACATTTTATTTATTTACTTTTTGGCTTTTTGAGACATGGTCTCACTATGCGGTTCAGGCTGGTCTTGAATTCACTTTGTAGCCCAGGCTGGTCTCAAACTCACAGCGATCCTCCTGCCTCAGTCTTCCAAGTGCTGGGATTACAGGCATGCGCCACCACACCCAGCTTCCAACACATGATATGAACCCATTCTTTTACCATTTGCCATTATGAATCTAATGAGATTGCTGTTCCAAGTTTGCACTTTTCTGATTTATAGAAGATTTCATACATTTGTTGAAACATGCATACATTGAAAAGTCTACTCACACTTTCCCTTCTATCAATTACCTATAATCTTTTTGGGCACGTCTTGCTTATTATTTTTCAATTCTCTGTATAAACCTTGTATTAGTCAGGTCCCAGTTTTAGATGTTGCAGATATGTTCTCCCAGCCTGTCGTTTATCTGTTAACTTTGTCCATAATGTACTTTATTTATCAGAAATTTTTGTCTTTCCAAATCCATCTTTATTGTGCTTCATTTTCTATCATTTATTTTAGTTTAGGCATTCAAATTTTTTTCATAAAGTCTTTACTTATCCAGTCATATTTCTTCTATAAATCATATAATTTGAACTTTCACACTTCATTCTATATTCCAACTTGGGGGACAGATTCAGATAGAATTTAATTTCCTTAAACCATGTTTTTTGTATTGCAAAGACCACCATTATCATCTGTCAGGTTCCCATTTCTATATATGGGTTTATTTCTGAGCTCTCTGTTTTCCATGTCTTTTAGTCTGTTCCCACACTAGAACCACTGTATCACACCACTTTGTTTCTATGGGATGTCTTTTTAAAATCTGCATAAAAATATTTCTGTTAACGCAGGCTTGCTGGTACACACCTGTAATTCAAGCTCAAAAGGGTGAAGCAGGAGAATTACAATTTTGAGGGCAGCCTGGACAACTTAGCTAGACACTGCCTGAAAATAGAATTTAAATGGGGAAGGGATGTAGCTCAGTGATAGAGCAATTGTTAAGTGGTATGAGGGTCTTGGATTCAATACTCAGTACTAAAAAATAATGTTAATTTCAAGTAATTTCTTCAAACTTTGGGATGCAAAGTTTGAGTGAGATCTTCACTCAAAGATCTAAAGGGATCTAAAGGGTTGGGCTGGATATGTAGCTCAGTGAGAATATGTGTTAGCATGTGTGAGACCCTGTATTCAATCCCAGCACCACAGATGCACGCGTGCGCACACACACACACACACACACACACACACACACACCAAATGGTTAATGAATGGTTCATTAAATCACAGAACACACTTCAGATGCAAGCTTATTTCTGTGAGATCAATCTTTGGGGACATCATACTTCACCCCTGTCATATTCACAGTGGAAGGAAATAAAGCATTCATTTAATTCCATATGTATAATTACAACACTTGGGGAAGTCACATTTGCTGCTTTGCAAATTGGAAGAAGACAGTAAAGATAATGTCTTTTACAACATGAGGTCAATTTACAAAATGTTTCCTTAAAAAAAAGGCCTTTCCTGATACATATTATACTGATTAAATTCTTTTTTAAAAATAACAAAAAGAAAAACCCCAAATAAAATCTAATCATCATTCCAGTCTCAAACTGAATTCACTTAAAGCTTTTACCCTGAAACCTAGTAACTCTTCAGCAAGAAGGAATTGTTGATTGGATTTGGAATTTTTTTTCTTTTTTGTATTTAACAAGCAAATTCTTATGCCTATGACAGGGTATTAACCCTGTTTTCTGAAACTGGACTTATAGGATAGGTATGGTCCCAACATGCCTAGTCTGAGGCTCTTGAAGCCTCTGTCCATTACTAGAATTAAGGCACAGGAAGATAACCTACATGGTGACTTTTTGACAGCCGGAGGTCACTGGGCCATCATGGCCTGGGCCTCAGTCCTGTGAGGAAGGTGACTGGGTTGGAGAGCCTCCCACTATACAGACCAAACAGATATCCTGTGTAGTGGGATGACAGTCCCTGCTGCCATGAGAGTCTCTATTGCTTAAAAGGGATAAAGAGCCCCTTTTAAGCAATAGAGACTGGATATCAGGGAGATTCGAACAGTTTGTCAGAGCCCGGGCAGCCCAGTCGCGGTAGCTGGGTTTCCAGCCCTTGGACTTCCACAAGATAAGTGTTAATAATTGGGTTAATGTAAAGGGCCTCAAAGTCAGCTGCAAACCAGATAAGGAACTGAGGCCAAAACATGGCCAGAAAAAGCCCTCGTGTTGACATTTTCCAAAAGCGGTTCTGTAGGCTTCAAGGTATGCTCTTCAGTTCACTCCTTGACCAGATCCTCCAAAGTGAAAATAATTCATCATGGTATATTTATGATGACAAACCAACTCCACAAAGATTCAGCAGTCAGCATGGAAGGAAGGAGTATGGGACACACAGAAAATGAGAGCATTAGAAAACTTCTATAAAGCATCATTAAATCACTGCACTTCTCTAGGTCGACAGGGCCCTCCACAGCCCCACACTGAGACCCTGGAGAAGCATGGGAGCTGTAGTAACAGCTTTTAATAACTGGGATGGCAAGTCTCCTTTCTGCTTTTCTTTTTCAAAACTTTCTTACTGGAGTTGGGGATGTAGGTCCATTGTACAGTGTATTTAGCATGAGCCAGGCCCTGAGTTCTATCCCCAGCACCAGGGCAGAGGGAAGGATGGGCAAAATGGCAGTGTCATCATGAACTTCTATTTTTTCATATAAATTTTAGAGTAAGTTAGCTTAAGTTAGCTTACTTCCTCAAGTAATCCAATGAGATTTTTATGAAAACCACATTGAATATGTAGATTTACTGGGGGTAGAATTAACATAAAACTTTATCATTGCAATAGTAATGCAAACACCTTTTTTTTTTTTTTAACTTCTTTCTTTTTACTTTGTTTTTTTTTTTTCTTTTTGTTTGCTGGGGATGGAATCCAGGGCCTCACACACACTAGATGATTGCTTTACCACTGAGTTACACACCGAGCCCCTTGCCTCGGGGTCCTTTTGACACTTTCTGAAACAGTCTTAGGCATTCTTTCTTAGGTTATTTCCTAGATGGTTGCAGTTTTATTATGAATTCTTAGTTTTTAGTATATTAGGGGGGAAAAAGTGGCAGGTGAGTTTGTAGCTGGCATAAGGGAGGTGGAGATCATTGGAGAAGAGTATATTTCATGGAGAAGAGTATATTTCATGGAGAAGAGTATATTTCATGGAGAAGGAAGGTGTCATTTTCATTTTGTTGGTTATGTCCAACTTATGGTGTCAGCAGACAGCTGTATAGATGTTCAGAGACAAGGATTCCAGAAACCTTTCTGAGGCTGAAGAAACAGACTTGGTTATAAGACTAGTACGGGTGAAGCACCTGCCAGGCAAGGGGGTCAAGCCAGTGAGCTCCCAGGGCAGCAGAGGCCTACAACCCCAGTTCCTGAGGATGGCAGAACCATGTGGGAATTCGCCCCTGCTTTGTGGAGCATCTCATTTT